ACGGCGAGTATTAATCATTGTTCTAGGTTTTCTTCGCGCCCGTCCTCGCGCAATTTAGGCGAAAACATGCTGCCATTTAATCACTTAGGAAACTACCAGGAAGCACGATTTTTCTTTCGTATCGGCGGAGCAGCTGCAACATTACAACCCCGTAGTCATCTATGATGTCATAATTTATCTCAATCTAGAAAATATGGTATCGACTTTCAAGGAATTGGAATTTTTATCGGGCAGCTGGCGTCCTAAGTGATGTAGCTGATGATGAAACAGTAGATTAAACATGAATCACATAAACGAGCTCATTATTTCTGGTTTTCAACCTCGGAATTCTACACATTTTAATCTCTTAACATCGGTAACTCGCATTCTCCCGCATGACTCGCGTTAGAAAATTGCGTACGTTAAAAAGTGTCTTTTCTATAACCAAGAAAAAAATCGGATTCTATCCCGAGTCAAAGGAAATGCGACTTATGTTACTTTCACGGCAACGAACATACGTTTACTTTTCATGCACTTCTCTTTTATCCCCTTTGCCCGTGTCAATTACGTGTTACGCTCGTAAATTATGTCAGTATAATGTGTTTGTCCTCAACATGAGACCCTTTTACATTGCATAACAACTCAGTAGTTCCATGACCGCGTAACGCAAGTTGCGCAGTCACAAAGCACAAAGACGAATGACGTAGACGATGCATAAAAATAGAAGTCGACCGACAAGGTAAAGAGGAAGAAGGCCAATTCGCTAAACATCCCGCGGAACAAACCGGTATTCGCGTTTGCATCGTGTAGAAAATTAAGCCAAGTGCTCAACAGACAACAGAGATAAACTTATCTGCTCGCGCAGTTAAAACGCACGACTTTTATCGCATCCCCTTTTATTATCTCGCCGTACATGAGAAACCCTTTGTGTACGCGCCTTTCAGTGACCGTTTATTCTCGGTGCGTCAGATTCCCTCAACGATAATGCAAGATTCAAGGGTCTAAATTGTCTGAAAGTCGATATACCAATTAAGTCGGCGAATTTATTCTCGCTTTGAAAGCGAAAATCATTCGCCCGTGCAAGAAGTCGTACGAATTCGCAAATGTGCTCAAACCTTTTAACGAAATCGAAACGATTATATGAGACAAGTTCGTACAAGCGCTTCAACCTTTCTGCCATCAAACGCTGATGTGGAGTCTAGACGGTTCAACGGCGCGATCGGCGAAAAAAATGGGATGCGCTAATTGCATAAATAAATGTGCAATATGGTTTTTTTTCACGAGCTGGTAGCAATCTATCTGTTTAAATGTACGGCTAATATGATCACGAAACAAAAATAGATTGGCCACAATTCCATTTTTTGACGTGATTCGCTTTCCCGACGCTGTAATGGTAAAACGATCACTTCTCGAGGGCGGAGAGACAGAACGAAAAGGGGGAGGGGGAGAGAAATTACGTTATCGAATCAAATTTGCAATAGCTAATTATGGTACGGTATAATCCGTTAATGAAGCTATACGTTAACTCGACATAGAACGGGCTCCACCGGAGCACATTATTTATAACAAACGCTGACAAATCCCCCGCCTGATCGAATATTTTCCACTGTTCGGAAAATTATATCTACTTGGCTGACGCGTGACACTATCATTTCATGCATCATTTATGACACACACGTTACAATCCCGAATCCATACATTTTTTTATGTACTACAAATGACAAAACGCGCAGTTTGTTCTCGCGCGCTGTATATTTTTAAGAACTTGTACGCATGCAAAGAAGGTACTGTATGCGCAACGTCGATTTAAAATAAAAGGTAATTTATAACTCACCGATACGATTCGCAACAGCAGAGTTGGGCATCGTTAACCGTATACGTTAATCTGTAAAAGTACAAATATGATTATTATACAACATTTTATTAAATATATATTATATTTTATATTTTTCAAAATAGGTATTTAGTAAAATCATAGAACACTCAAAAGAGTCTTCCTTTTAAGTATAAACCCACAAAATTTTAGACTTTCGTTTTGTTATTCGAATCCACGTTCGAATCATTTGATTCGATTTTACGTCAATAGTAGTATTTGCATATGAAAGATATTATCTTGGTAGAGAATAGTGAAATTAATGCCAGTTTAGCTCATTTGTATTTACAGTAGAACAGCTATACTAACGTAGCTGACAACGCGGTTCACACGGTCTACGTGCGAAATGTAATCGTATTATTAGCCGTGAATGCAATCGGATTACTTTCACAAGTGATTCTTATTCTACGGATGTCGTCTCCTCGAAATCGTGGAGAGCGAGGCCGCGCCGCGCCGCGCCGCGTCGCCGGCCATTCATCGCACTCTTGGAATTCGTGTCAATCGCGTGTAATCCGGGCGATCTGGAGGATCTAAGCGCGCGGGGGAAGAACTCGCGCAATGTGCCGTGAGGTACGTCATTCCGCGCATTCGCCTCGTCATTCCGTGACATCACGGCACCACGTGCACCGCGAATATCCCGCCGTCATTGTTCGGCGTATCGCTCACGTGTGACTTATTGCACGATAAACGCATCTGGTCCCCCTTCGTTCGGACAGATTTAGCTCCTTTAGCCCGGAGTCAGTGTCAAGGTGATCGGTCGTTTAGACCCCACCATCGCTCGTGCTGGTGGACGTGTTCGTACACTGCAATGACATTATTTTCGTCGCAAACACTGCGGTATTTGACAATGCTGCACGTAACGTTTTGATACAGCAATTGTGCATTCATTTTACAAATATGTCGCGACTCGTGATACAATTTTTTTCTTAATTGTGATGTAAAAATCTGTTTTAAGCAGTTACATCGACCTTCTTTTATCTCACGATTAAACCGAATGTTAATTATCCCACATGTGTAAGTGACGCGTAATCTGAAAGATGAGAACTACATGTTCTCTCTTTCTCTTTAAAAAAAAGAAAGGATCTAGGGAATGTGAATATGATCAACTTTGACATCTTTAAATATAATTTTCAACATCAATGATTTTTATTGACCGTATCTGGCGATTAAAATTTTTATTGCGAAAAATATTACCCCAACCAGGATTCGAACCTGGGACCTCCCTCAATCCGTCTTACCAGCTCGACCACTGGGGCTGTGATAATACTGTTCGCAATAACATATATTAGTTAAGATGTTGTTTACGCGTCCATTTCGACTTTTCAGAACAGTGCGTCGATACGGGTTGTCGACCATACACTGAACTGTCGATACGCGATTTCTTTAATTTTCCCTTTCCCCTGCCCTCCCCCCGATCCCATTTCCCCCTATTACAGCGGCAAAATAAAATTATAAATATAATTTTATTTTGCCGCTGCTCCCGGGGACTTTGTTAGCAATTTTATTGACATTTATATCCATTAGATAAAAACTCGGAATTATTTTAATAATTAGTCATGAGCACTCTCATTTTCTCATCATTGGTGCATCGACAAGTGTAACGATCAATTTTCAATGACTTTCATTGGCCGCAACTTGAACGTGCAATGGTCTCAATTGAATTCAATAAACACTGATTAATCTCTTGACTTGTTGCTTTGTCATGTTGTCATTACATATATGGGCGTGCATGCACGCGAATAGTTCAACGCGTATTAATAACTCAAGATCTTTTATCTCTCGAATTAACGAACTGCAATTGCTACGAATGAATGATATGCCACTTTTTTTTTCATTCAGCCTAGACGTTACAATGAATACGCAGAAAATACAAGCAATTCGGTGTTGCAGTACACTCCCTAAAAGTCAATCGGTAGATTATCATTGAAAACAGCGAATACTTTTCAGTGATAATTCAATTTTAGCGAGCAGTTTCTTAGTAACATGATATCGAATTGTCGTTTCTGGCATTAATTATACGAAGCAAGAGCGTGTAGCTTGTAATTTAACGATAATACCAACGAGAAAATATTGTAGAATGCAGCCTTGAAAAAAACGAAAATGAGAAACCAATACATCGAGCCTTTTTATCAGATAATAATGCGTGATAAGAATTTCATGTAAAGAAACAAAATACTCGAATCTAATCCGTCTATTATCAATCTTATCTAGCGTTAATAAAAGTAGATGAGCAATCATGCAGATAACGAAATTCAGCAAGTCTCATCGAATGCAATAGTTTCCCCAAGTCATCAACGATCAAGCGGATAGAAAGGAAACTGATTTAACTCTCGACTGATTTATTAGCTTATCACCTTCTATCGGAGATCCATTAAAGCTACGCTTCAAAAATATTCGTTAATTTATTTGCCTCAATATTCATCGTGTATTCGAATTAAACAAATTAAAAGCAAAGTTTTCCCTCGTATTTTACACTTTTCCGGTTGTGAACAAAAGTACAGCAAACGTATGTAGATTCCTATGCGAAAACAACGCGCAGGCAGAATCAGACTTGCGCAGAGTAATTTGTATTAAATTTCATTAAATTCCACGCGAATCCACGTATCTCGGACGAGAAGATCGGGGCCGTTGGCAATTTTTAGTCGCACATCCCGACGAGAACCGACACTCGTCGAGGAACGTGGCGAGTGTCGTCTCGTCAAAGGGAATTAACGCAGAAACATTTGCAACATCGGCGGGACCGCAAAAGATGTGCAAAATTAAGCGATCCGCTCGCACAGACACAGGCGAACGAGCAGAAACAGGATGGAGGTGGAGGGGCATACCATGCATGGAGGGAAATGATTTTAGAGCATGAAGGGGGAGGGGGAAACCCTCTTACAGGATTTATATATACGAGCGATCTCGCGCTGACTTTTGTGAGTCGCGTCGTACGCTCGGCCGAACCGGTCGGTTTACGTGGTCATCGTCGCAGCCTCGTTCGCGTTTCCGCGAGCAACGACAGTTTCCTTTTCAGAGAGAAGAATCGTCGCGCCGATTGTTATCAACGTAATCGGTTGCTTCTGGTGAGCTTGATTTTTCACGCGAAAGCGGGGGGGAAAAAAAGTCGCGACGGTTGACAGTAACGGACTGCGAGTGCCTTCAGCTGTGTCGATTTGTGCGAGCTGCAGCAGTTGTCACGTGACTCGGACGGCTTTATCGTTGCTCTCTATCGTTACTACATTATAGATAACGACATTGACAAGGCTGCCGATAGTGAAATATTACGCGATAATGTTCAACTTCACCGAACAATTTAGAATTGAACGGCGGATGATCGTCTACATCTAAAAGAGACTATCATGCAATCTTAGTTAGTAGATAAACACAATTCTCGGACGTAAATGTTTGGGTGCGATCGTAGAATCGAATAATTGCGAGCACCGCGAACCTTTATTACTTTTAATTTTGATCTAAACAACCGTATTGCCCTCAGCTTCAAACTCCTTATACTACAATCATCCGCAACGAAACTCGAAAACTTGGTGAACTCAAGATCAAGGACTTGGAGTATCGGGAACCACGGGAAAATTCAATCGGCAAAGCTTCAATTGGAGATTAAAGTCGAGATCGTCGCTCGGTGATCGCATTTATCAACAAGCTGGATTTCCTGCACGGCGCCGAGTCTGTGGTCGAAAGTGTTTACTCACCGGGATGATAACCACGTGGTTTTAGGTGTAATAGGATCGAGAAACCCTTGAGATCATTTGTATTCTTACACATTCAATTGGATCGATCGGATCGATAACGACACGGTGGTATGATTCATGATTTTATCTCGAGTAACGTTTAAATCAGGCTTGAATATAAGTTCAATACGATGGTGGTGGCAAATGTTTTAAGTCCAATTGTCGAATGAGAGATTTTAGATTAATTTTTCTAGAAGGAACACCTGAATGATTTACAAACGTGTTTCAAGTAGAAAAACATTTTTTCCTCTTTCTCTTAAAAGCCATTCGAACGCGCGTCACTTCGAAAATTAATCGCCAAAAGAGACAAGACTGTCGCTGTCGTTCAAAGTCACTCAGAGAAGAAATTTTTTTTTCTGTCAACGAACGAAAATTTTTGACGCGGACTCCCTCTCGATTTCTGATTACGAGCATGCATATTCCAGCGGCCTTTAATAAAAAGCTTCTCGTTACAGACGGTCTCGTGAAGTCGGTTGTAACGCGCAGAGATTGGATGTCTCTGCATCTCTCGATGGTAGATTTTAACTGTCGCGGCTGAGCGAAATTTGACAGGTGAGTGAGCGCGGCAGCGCAAACTTTTATCGGCAAATCAAGGACGGTAAAAACCGGCGGGATGCATCGTTAATAATCGTGATTGCTCGCGAAACCGACTGAAATAACGCTGCGGATAATGAACGGCGCGTCGGAGATAATGGCGGAAATAAGCCGGGCGAAGCAATGAATTGTTACGTTTGATCTAAAGAACTGCCCACGCCTAATCTACAACTATCCCTCGGAGTACCCCTGATACTGAAACGCATACGTACACACGCGGCCATACGCGCCTTTTCCTCTCAGATCCAATACAGGTGCGGCAAACTTCAACGTACCTTTCATTTATGATTCGCTACTCGCGATGTCGCTTATAATACATCTAGGTATTGTCGAGTATCCTCTAGCCATCTTTTTTTACCGACACAGTCAAATATAGTTTTTGCGATTCGTGTTTTATTAGCTCTTATGCACAAAATAATGCCAGGATAAATTGCGGACCGCATAGCAGAACATTATCATACTTAAAACACTCAGTTCAGAAGTCTAATAAAAAAGATAGTGGCATTTGAAATTTTCAATTCGTAGCTCGAACTAAATTTGAAATTGGCTTTATAAAACGGCAAAACTCTCCCACACAATTAAAGTACACGTAAAGACAAAACCAGGGACGGTCGACTTTATATTTAAAAAAAACCGAAGAGAAATTAAACATATAAAAATTTATATAAAAAAAACGAAGAGAAATGAAATATAAAGTACTTAACAATGTAAATGTAATATAACGTCGGTGTTATATTACATTTATCTTGTTGAGCAGGAAATTATAATATTGATGTTATGTAACTGTTACTTGGTGTTTACTGGAATGTTAAAAAATACAGCTTTAACACGTTTTCTTTATTTCATTTCGTCGGCGACCGGGTCTGAAATTTCGCGTACTGATAGACAAAATTTACAACTGCGACATACTTCAATTTCAATTTTTTCTACTTTTGGTCGGTTTGTGCAGAAGCCACCTTAAAAGTATCCTTCGCGCGTACGTGAACGGAACGCGCCTGAATGATCGTTAAATCATCTCCGTTTGGGGCGGGGGGGGGGAGAATGCGCGGCGGGAATTTTGCACCGCATGAATTTACGACAAAGCGATCCGTTATTTCCGTCGATCGCGCAATGATTTAATTTTCGGGAAACTAGCCGTGAAATCAAAATCGATCAGCGGCAAAGGGGAAAGGGGACCCATCACTCGGTGTCGCGCGATCGACCATCGGCAAACGTGTAGTTATTCGAAGCCAGGAAAAACGGGGGCATTGAATGCGGTTGCAAATAGGCCGTAAGTCATTGGCACAAAACACGTTTTGCACGCACACGATAAAACGCGCGCCGTTGACTTTCGTAAGCCGCGACAATTGTCGCGCATCCAGCGATTTCTGGACACGCGCGAGCCTCGCCGCGAATATTCGCCATATGATTGCCGAAATATTAATCGACGTGTTTCTCAGTGTTCAATTATAAATTATCTGTCAATCGGTTTTTAAATAACGTCGTGTGATGCGATTATAAAAAGTCCCACGGTATACGCATATAGAATTTATTAGAGGGAGATTGATTGTGCTGTACAATAAATTTCGCATTGATTATGAAAATTAATTTTACATTATTAATCGAAAGGTAATTTTGAAATCCCTGACCGACTTTTGCAAAAGTACTTGATATCTGACTGTATGATAAAGTACACAATAAAATATATGAAATTGTGCATAGATCATAGAATATTGGCGGTTAAATAATATTTTGAATATTCGATATTATAATGAAAATACAGCGCGTTTAGAAATTAAATTATAATTAGAGAACAATCTTTCGCGCAGTGTAGACGCGCAAATTTTTCGTTTGGAAATAATACGTAACGAGCGTATAATTTTAAAACATTTTCGGGCAGAAGTGTTCGATCATTCTGTTGAGTCTCACAATCGCGTCGCTGAATCGAAATGAAGCTTGTTATCGTTATATCTCGAACGGACATCGCGCCAATGCATTACTCAGGGACGCAACACTCCTCGATATGAAGAAAGGAGGAATCACGTTATCGCGAATCTCTGCGATCATATCTTGAACGAGTTATTCAACTCGTTATCGCCAATAAACTCCCAGAGCAAGGCTCTTTAGCACAATCAAACGTGTCTTATTGCAAAAACACTGCAAGTTGCAATCCCAAAGTTGAACGCTGACAGGATTTTTCCATTTTCGTTACGTATTACGTTTCACTGACACAATATCGTTGCTGTCATATGTGGCCCTTTTTAAAATGGAATGAAATGATAAAATTTCAATGAAGCCATTTATACTACTTCGCAAAAACTGGCCGGACGTGCGCGTCAAAACGCCACCGAGAAATAAATAATTTCGAATCGGCGAGAAAGGGCCGATTGCCGGCATTACAGCGGCGTGCAAGCGTCACCAAGAAAGGTGCATAAATATTGGCCGGTCGCACCAGTCGATTAATCCGCGATCGCGTCGATATTGATATTAAAACTCAATAAATTGTGAATTATTCATGAACGCGCCGGGTCGGGCATGCGGGCTTACGCGAGCTTTTTAACTTCTTCATACTAGATCGAACGGCGCTTTATCGACGTCATAGAAATAGCGACAAAAAGCACGCGCGCGGCACATCGCACGAATACAACGTGTTAACGACGCAAAGTTGTTTTTGTTGAAAATTCTGCAAAATCGCCTACAGCGTATCGTAAACAAAACTGCGCTATCCGCAACAAATGGAAATTTCGCAACGGATCCGATACGCGATGCACGATTCGCGGTACCGTTACCAGGTAGACCGCGTCCGTACCCGAGTAAAACATTAATAAGGCTGTGAAAAGAAATCTATTTTCCTTAATATTAATCGGGTCCTAATACGTAAAAGTGATCAGGCACCTGAAAAGTTTGTAACAAGTAGTTTGTAAGAACTTTGTAAGGAAATATTATCGGGGCCTTACAAAGAAATATTGTCGGGACCTCATAAGAAAACAGAATCAGGCCCTTTCAAAATATTAATCCTGATTCTTAATTAAGGCTTGCCGAGCAGAAATTTAAGGAAATTTAATTTTTTTAAATTAATTTTTTAATTTAAAGAATTATTTAACGCCAGAGCAATTGATTAATCAATGTAGAAAATGGCTGAGGTAATAAGGAATCCTGTTATCATCCTTATCGGGGCCTGCAACTGCCTGAATTAGCCCTAACAATTTTTTACTCGGGTATTTTATTATTAAGCAATGAGAGAAGATCGATCCAGCTACGGCTACAGCCTGCGAAGGTGACTTGAATTCTCTCCGACAGTCAAGGTAAACGGACAAATAGTAAGTACGGTGTAGCGACGATAAAAATGTTATTAGCGCTCGTGGCATTCGTTCTTGATTAGCGTAGCGTAGCGGCGCGTGATTATTGCGCAAGAGCCGCTGGCGTCGGCGTCGAGCAAGGAATTTTCTCGTATCGAGCCCAAGGTATCGCGCGATTCTTTTGTCAGAGTGGAAAGACGAAATGTGCAAATCCTCGTGAAAGTTTTTGCCAGGGAGAAGAGCATTTCGCTGACGAGAAGCCGATTCTGAATTGATCGGCGAAGCTGCTCTTGAAAGGTAATACGACAAAACAGAGGCCGCAAACTGGCGACAATGTTAAGCAGATAAATAATTAATACAGGTGTGACATCTTGATGTTATCTTTATGCGTAAAATATCGCAAAATGGCCCCAGGAACGTTTCTGAGAGATTTATGCCTAAGACTAGTTTTTGTTTACTAGTTTGTAAAATTTCAGTAATTTGTTCCATGCTATTTTAATATATTATGTCTTATGTTACATTTTGTAACATATGTTTAGTCTTAATAAATGTCGTAAATTGTTCTGTCGAAACATCAAGGCCCGGTTTCGCTGACGTTGTTCAGCTAGCTAAAGTTCTTTGCCCCTTTCTAAAGTAACAGTTGGAAAGAGACAAAGAACGAATTAAACCAAGTTTAAAGTTAAGCGACGTTGGTGAAACCGAGCCTAAGTCGTCTTATTGAAGCCCATCTCTGATGGCAGGCCACGGCATTATCAAAAATATTATCAAAGTAATGCAAAATCCGGAAAAACAAAACGCAAAAGATGCCAAAAATAACATCAAGATGTCGCATCTCTAATAACGAATTCTTGGAAACGGGCTTTTGTTAATACCGCGAGCGTCCTTGTTCTGAGCGCCGAGAGGAGCGCGTTGCATATTTCTCGCGTGCAGCGCGATATCGATCACGAGACAATGCCCGATCTCGTTATCGATGCACACACGTGACTCGCAAAGCGTTCCTCGTCATAAATAAGACAATCGAGTCACGCGAGCAGTTTTCTCCGCCTGACCCACGCGCTCATTAGCCCGACACGAACGATTAATATTTCTTAAATTAATCAAGACGTCTAACACGTTAACGATTCATGCCGTGCACGTCACCCAGGAATAAAAATCGCTTACGAATTAATAACATTTATTAATTACGTATGTTAATCTTGAAACGCTATGCCGGTTTAAAATTTGCGCGATAAAGCGCTGACGTATATATGTACAAGTAAGGTGCGCCTGCAAAAAAAGCTCGTGTGTCTTATCTGTTAGATGACAGATTACAGCGAAATACTGGCTTCATCGGCGAGATATTAATCGGCTCTGATTAATTAATTTTAAAAAGCGATTAAAGGGAACGATTTGACGAATTAAACTGCAGTGTGTACTGCAAATCTAATTATATTCTGGAGAATTAACCGGAATTTATTTTCAAATAAAGCTTATACCTTCCTGAGTCATTCGCGTCGCTTGCGTTGATCTAGCGCGGATTTTATTCCATTTCCATTATCGTGATAAATAACGTTAAATAAAAGTACAACGAAACGTCACCAAGTCATAAGCGTCAGAGCAGCGATAATTTGACCGTTATAATGAGAAATGTAAATAGAGCTTAATACACGGCCGCTTATTGTTCGAGGATATCGGACACTCGGCTACGCGAATTAGCGATTCGGCGGAATGGGATAAACAAATGGCGTAATTAAATATTCACTCCCGTTCCACTGGTTTGTAAATTCGACCGGATTTCGTTCCGCCAACAACATACGACGACATCATTTTTATTTATTTACGCGATGACACGTTACGAGCCGCGAGCGGAAATTGCGTATTGGCTATATCTCATATGTGCGCGCGCGCGCGACGTATATACACGCATATATATACATATCTATACATATATGTATGTATGTATATATTATATTTCGCATTACATTGAATTTTACAACGCGGCATCGCGCGAGAACGGGGATATATTTATTTGAACGCGCGCGCCGCAATTAATTCGATTATCTACTTACGTGTTATGTACGTGCGCTCCGGTTATTAACTGTCATAATTTGTACGCCAGGAATTTCTACTTTACACTTTGCAATTTTGCCAGCTAAAGAGATAATCGCCAAGCCGTGGTCCTCGCTAAATTCCGCGGACGCGTGTTCTTCGCGGCCGGCCGTTCTTGTACGGGCGGAAACGTCGAAACGTCAGTCCACTACGAGCAAGCGGAAAGGGCTCGTCGGCAAGTTGCAACAGGAAGAATCGAACTTGAAAAAAAGAACCACGGAGTTTAATAGCCACCCTGCGCATTTTACGGCCGTCCTGTATATTATACGAGTACCGGGTCTCCCATGTATTTTATGTATACATTTTATCGGCATCTACGTCGTCGTGCATTAGCTACTTATGCATACACAGTAAAGTACATAATACCAGTGAGGCAGATCTGAAATGCTGTGTGCGACCATGCTTTCCTCTCTCTCTCTATCGCGATTATTAATAGAAGAGACGATTATGTATTCTTGACTGGCCGAATATCTCACCTAATCAACTTCTCGATCGATTGATCGACTGCCGGAGACGATGACGCTATCTCGTTACTGTCACTCCTGCGATAGTCAATGACAGACTCGCCGTGGCTTTTCCCAAGTGAGTCGTTTAAATACGCCGTCACTCAATCAATCTCAACATCTAGTAATTTCATCAATTAATGATGAGAAATTTCATAATAAATTTCGAAGCAGGTCAAGCTGCAGAAGTCAAATAGACCATAATGTTTTATTGACATTTTCGTCAATTTGATTTGGATATTTCGATTTGTTTAATGAGTAACAAATTTCTATATAATAATAATTCTAATAATAATAATAATATACAATAGATTAACAGCCCACAAGCATGAGTTTATTTAGAAGAGGAAGCGTATCGGAATAATTAAACAGCTTGTCGCTTAATAAATTAAAAGTACGACCTGTAGGCTTTAAGTAATTAATATTAATTGAGTAATAAAAAATAAGTGTTTAATTAAAAGTTTCAGTCAGTGGACTTGACGTTTTATCTTCCACCTTATGTTTTACTTAAGAAATTAGTTTATCTCTAGTAATCGCCTCAATAATGCCATCCTTTCCATGCTATTTGTAAGAGTACGCCAAGGTACAAGACTAAAGAAGTTTCAACTCCAGCATGCGTAATGCATATTAGAGCGCCGCTATTTTGCGAGATCATAAATTCGCGATGGGGAATCGAATTAGAGACAGAAGACCGCGGAGCAACAACAATGAATATATTTTATGAAATTGAAACAAAATAGCCCCGGCACCGCTAAATAAAACAAACTAAGTAAAATAAATAAAAGGAGGAGCGGGGCATGAAAGCATCGCATGCGGATTTGTATTATCCAGTTTTTCACAAAAACAAACCACAAGAGAATTGCTATATAAGCTAGCAATACAACATATATATACACAGTAATACAAGCCAGCTGCAAAATAACAAAATTAATAATCCATGTGGTTTACTTTTATTGTTATTCGTAATTTGTTATTACATTTATTATTTTCTGAAAATCGAATGCGATCGACGTGCAAGGGGGATATTGGAAAAATTATCCTTTTATCCGAAGACTTCGAATTATTAACAACGAATTTCGAGAGAAACATGCATTAATAATAAACGTACATTTAAAGAGAAATTAAAAAATGTTAAATAAAATATAAGAAATATAGTAAACCGGTTGAAAAAATATAGAGATTTCCAGAAGTATATCAATTAACTATAGAATCTGATCTGCTGTTTGAATAAAAAATATTTTATATAAGCTGTTTCAGTTAAGCTTATGTCATTTCAAAAACTGTATATTTCTAACGCGTGCACACTTTTATGGCCAAATGCGTTCGCAATTGTCACTTTTGATACCATTTTCGTATTTTATATACGCCAAATATTAGCAACATATTGTTATTTTTTTTTACTATTTAACCGCTGCTTTCTCAAACGTCCCACGAAATTCGATATTGCGATACCATCAAACGCGTTGGACGGTGATATTAATATTGGAAACCGGATCCACAATAAAGGGTAGACCGGCAAGGAACTCGTAAATTTACGTCGATAACCGACTAAAGCATATAAGAAAAGCGCGAGGAGACCGTAGAATAAATCGCACGAGAAAGCAAGCGGTAAACTGTACGAAAGGGGAAAAAACGGTATTTCTGCGTATAAAAGATTTAATTTTTGATACGCAAGGTACCGGAGATGATCGATCAAACTCGATTATTTCAATATTGAACTAATAGTCGTTAATATTTCCGTAATATCTCCGTGATGAAATTTATCCACGAACGAAGGTAAAAATAAGCGACGTTTATCGCGCATCTATTAGCAGCGCCGAAAGCGCCGCGGCATGCGCTAATGATATTTTTCCAAAATGAACTACCATCATATCATTGTGAGAATAATCTCGCGCCAGTCCGCGTTTACAACGGCGCCTCCGTCGCCGGCCATGAAATTCACGCACCGATGGACAATGCCCATCAATATTCATACGATAAAAGCATGAGTGCTCAAATTTCGACGTAGCTATTACAAGTTGTTTTCGCAACTCCCTCCCCCGCCCCCTTTCGTACGTACGCGAAATCCTGGGCAGTCGTATGGTTATTTTCGTAGAAAATGATAGGACGCGTTAATGCATGCTGCGTGCGTCTAATGATTTTATAACAATAACTCACGAATAGATTTAACTATAGAAATAGATATGAATTCTCTTAGAAATTCCAGTCTTAATCGAATAAAATTCTGGTCAAGGTAAAGCAGTCATTCCTTTGAAATTAAATAAAAGTGCCTCAGTTGGTCGAATTGGTGAGACGCCCGCCTAGAGAGTAGGGAAGTCCAGGTTCAAACCCTGGCTGAGGTAATATTTTCCGCGATAAATTTCTTTAATTAGAATTTGCCAGTCGGCGTCGTTTAACAATTTTTCTACATTGGTTAAATAAAAGTCTAGTAAGGTCAAAATCCAGAGAAACTTTCTTTCATTTCAAAGAAACTTTTTTCCGGGTGCATCTTGGAGCCCGGGAGCGCGCAAAGGCTCACGTGTAAGGCGCGCGTGCAGCGCTGCTTCATAAAAAAAGAAAGAAAAAAAGGAAAAAAAAGGAGGAAAGCCTTGATAAAATCGAGAATAGAGCCATAAAAAATTTCTCGACGGCGGTCAACGACGGACGGCGGCGGAGAGTGGCCGGCGGCCGCATATTTCGCGCTCCATCGATCGGCCGAGAGGGCCCCGAGCCGGGCGGCAAAAGCCGGCGACAGCGCGCGGCGCGGAGTATTTAAAACCGTTTAGCCGGGCAGTTAATTGCGCCAATAATTCCGCCGATGGAATAATAATGCCGGCCGTCGAGCCGCCGCGCGCGGCCCGATAAATCCGACGGGAGAGATTCAGTAAGGGCCGGAGTCGTCGCGGACTATCCGCACGCGACTACGCGCGCCCCGCGCGATATGATATATCGAGCGACGTGTGGCTGTAATGTCGGCATTTTGCCTTAATGCCGCACGGAGAATACGGCGAGGGTGAAAGACGGGAGGGGGTTCCCTAAAATGTTCCTCGCAAATATACGAAGGTGAAACATTCCCCGCCTCGATGACGTCCTGGAGGATATTAAGAAAAGAATTATGCCGTAGGTAAAACACACGCACGCACGCACTGGGGTATCGTTGTCCCGAGTATCATATTTTCCGGCGCCTGATGCGAGAGTTCGCGGGGAGCGCAGTTTCTATTAATTTAATTGTACGAATTTTCAGGCGAGACAACCGTTCGCTCGAGAGAACAGGCGTGAATAAAACAAGTTTAAGCAAACATGTAAGTTAAGACATGCCGAAAATATGTAATTTATTCCTATGCACTCGCTAAAAGTTCACCGCGATTTTCATTGTGAATTGGCGACTATTCATTTGTTTTCGGTAATAATTTACTGATTGACTTTCAGAGAGTACAGCTTGGTTTTCCGTCCAAGCGTAAGATAACGCGAGGTGCCTTCTGGAATTTCTGAAAATCCAGAACTCGATCGCGACACAACGTTGCGTCCCCGAAATATTAATTGGTCGTCGTGTTAGATTGTACTTTCTAATCGGACGTTAACCCACATTGGAATGCGCGCGATTAAGTAATTGACCGTGATAAGAAATTAGCATGGAGCGGGCATCGGGTCGGTCCAACGGCTCCGTCTCGATGTTTAAGCTTCAATTTACGATAATTGTTATTATACTCGGTCGCCTGGATTTTAATTCGTGCAAATCGTTCGCGGTGTCGTAACACAAATTAAGGAATAATACGCGACGGCGCATACAGAGGTAACCTTATTATAAAGAAAAAAAGTAAAACGTATTCCCCTCCCCCCCCCCCCTCCCCGCGATATTGCGAGGCTGAAAACCGTCCGTTATTCTTGCGCTTAATTAAATTCGCGGCATAATAATCGCTATTAAACAAATTTACCTAAACGCGAAATAAATGAGCGTTCATTTTTATTCCCCGCGCGTTTCTCCCTTATTTTTATCAAACGCCGTCCCTTTAATCCGGCTCTAATTAGTATCCTTTACGACGTGAAGTTGCGTACTTTTTTTTGCGCATTACGCACACGTATCTCGGCTCGAAAGGATCCGCAGCGCTAGGTATCAAAAATAAAAATTTAACTGTTCTCTCTCTCTCTCTCTCTCTCTCTCTCTCTCTCTCTCTCTTTCGCGCACACGAGTCGCCGTGTCCTAGAACACGGTATTTTTGCAAGCTCTTTCGATCGCGGTCCGCAGCAGGAAATACATTTCACATTCGCGAATCAGTGCATACACGCGCGTAACAAAAATTTCGCGAAAGCGTATTTGCTCTCGCTACACGTAATAGAGCAGAAACACGGCAATGTTAATATAAAGTACGATTTTACGAATTAAAACGTGGCGGGCGAAAAAGAGAGGCGCGGGAGAGCGGGACGTATCGAGAATGTGCCAAATGTGTGTGTTCTAATAAAAAAGAAAAAGCAATTCTCTCGATTAGATCACGGTGTAAGAGGAGTTATTTATTGACTTCCGCGTAACCAGGCTTATTTTGTTATTGCGTCAGGCCTCCTATTGTTCTTCTCGCCGCGGAAAATCTATCTCCTCGTCGCCTTTTATCATACGAATTTCTTATGGCACGTAAAAGTAAATCTCATTTGTCTTCGTCATTCCGCCGCCGCGCGCGTTCGACATATTGTTCCCCTTTCCCCTCCCGTCTCTCCGTCGCCGGCTCTCTTTCTCCTTCGCGGAGTCGTTATCATACTCTTTATGTCTTTTTTGCTATTCTTCGGGATACGTGCTGGCCTTTTCCCGCAATCTCGGTGGAACTTCACCGAGACTTGACCCACTGAGGCGTATTAAGTTTATCGTCGACTTAGCGCGCTAAGTGCGAAAACAGAGTAAAGGAAAACAGCGGTTCGGCGTGTGTGGTGGAGCTGAAAACGAAAATAGCGGAACGAAATCGCGCGAATTGCATTGACGCTAACCGCAGTACGCGAAATGCAACCGAATTTTCATTCTCTGATGTACAGCGAGAGGGGGACGGGCGGCCGTTTGAATGGTCAAACCTATCGGCGAAATGACCCTTGAACGTTTAATTAATCGCATTAACGTTAATTAGTATCGATTGTAATTGGGTAAATTTTCCTTCCTCGTCTGCATATCATTAGTCCCGTCATACGCATTGCAAAAGTCAGGTTTTACACGCCTGAAACGATACGGTTTTGCACACGGGCCGTCGCGAAAAATTTCCTTCAGACGCTCTTAAAAGTTTCACCGCTGTATTTGAGCGTACGTTGCATTAGGATAACACAAATAACTTTCGATGAAACGCATACGTACACGCGAATAAAAGGAAGGAAATTTTTGATGGGCGGGAATCCCCTGTCGAGGAGCCTTGCATGGAAATGCTTCTCTTGCTTTTAAGAAAATAATGAGTAAATATGGACTTTATATTGTCGGCGCTGTGAAAATTTCTCTCCGAATAAAGTTCCCCGCTATTTTCAATGCGTCGTGCTGTGGACGCGTCGCGACGATACAAAAAGAAAAGAATTATTTGAAATTTTGGAATAACAAAAAAGGCAGTGGAATTTGGTAGCGAAGTAATAAATTAAATGAAGTTAAGCTAAAAGTTCATTACCGCTCACTCGAAGCGAAATAAGATAAATCCTTGGCTTTCAAGCAACGACTGAAGAAGATAAATCCTTTATCAGTCGGGGAAAAAATTTTCTGATCGGTGCCACAGAATAACATATACACCAAGATAATTCTAGGCTTCTAAAAAGTTCTAACAAGAATGTTATCGCGGTTCATGATTTTTGTATCCCGCTTATTACTTTGTCAGACATTTGCGCAATGTCGTCCGATTGTGCAAAAATAACGTTACATTTGGTAATTGCACATAAATTGCAAGTCATTTCTCTGGAAAGCCAAGAACGTCGAGAAAACTCGATCCGTTGCAACAAAAAAAAAGACGTTGATGTATTATCCCGCAAACATATAAATTTGTATTCTCCCTACGTATATTTATTCTCTCATTAGTCTTCCTACTTTTTTAATTGAAAAATGGTGTTCCATTGCGTTTCGAGAGAATATCCTATAATTCGAGCTCGTATCGAACAGCCAATTCTTCAAGCAACAACAATTATTCCTTTAATTTTTTTTCTTCAAGCTTTTAAACTTCAAGATGGTGCGTTGTTAACTTAATAAAGTTTTTTTCAAAATATGTGCAGACTTAAAATTCTGCCAATCCTAGGTCTTAATT